CCTACAGGGGGTGTACCACAGCACCACACATCCCGAGCCACGACAGGTTATACACCTACAGGGGTGTACCACAGCACCACCCAGCACGAGCCGCGACAGGTAATACACCTACAGGGGGTGTACCACAGCACCACCCAGCCCGAGCCACGACAGGTAAAACACCTACAGGGGGTGTACCACAGCACCACACATCCCGAGCCACGACAGGTAATACACCTACAGGGGTGTACCACAGCACCACCCAGCACGAGCCGCGACAGGTAATACACCTACAGGGGGTGTACCACAGCACCACCCAGCCCGAGCCACGACAGGTAAAACACCCACAGGGGGTGTACCACAGCAACGATAGGTAACAATACACCTACAGGGGGTATACCACAGCACCACCTAGCCCGAGCCACGACAGGTAATACACCTACAGGGGGTGTACCACAGCAACGACAGGTAATACACCTACAGGGGGTGTAGTACAGCACCACACAGCCCGAGCCACGACAGGTAACACCACACAGAAACACATTGCCGACAGAATATTTTCGTCTGGACGTCAGGTTCGTTTCCTGACAGAGAAAATTTAGTGGTAGTTGCTGGAACAGTCAAACGTTTGCATATTAAAAACTTGCATGACTTAATTTGTTAAAAAAGCACTCAAGCACTGTTTGCAAGCAGATTTACGGTGAAAGTCGTGAGAACTGTTGCCACTCAGCCTCTGTGTTACGTAGGATCTTCGTTAGTGTACCAATCCCCGGCAACTAATAATTAACCTCCTTGCCCCTTCTTTCACAGGTGGGCGCCTACTCTCCGCTGACGTGATCTACATATTCCATTTCCCTACAATGGAGCGGAGCAGCCCCTGAAAGCTATGCGCACAACTCGACAGCCCCATGGACCCAACACAAGGTGGACGACCTGTGACGTCACAGTTTACTGCGGTGATGTACAACGCCGCGTCACAATGTGTACCTAGTACTGCAGTGACTTCGTGCGCCTGACACCAGTTGGTCATGAGAGCACGGCCTCGGTGTGACGAGGAACGAATGCACCTGTGACAGTTTCGTTACTACGGCTGAAATGCGGTACATCCTAACTGAAAGTGAAGCGACGGTATTGAGAGTCGGCGGTTGAACCGTCGATATAAGCGAGCATATGACTTTGACAGATGAGATTTTTTCGTGGTAGGCTATTGCAACAATGTGTTGCTTGACGTGTCAATCATATTTGCACATATCTGTGCAAATACGACTGACACGAATTTTGATACGAATTTCGTTTTTTTTTTTGTTGATTTGCGCCGTGCAAGAATAAACTGGTTATGTGCAAATTCAGTGGCGGCGGAATAGGGGGTGCAGGGGGTGCAGCTGCACCCCCATCGAAAAACATGGGGGTGCAAACATATCTTTTTGCACCCCCAAAATCCGTACAAGGGGCCCGTCGCACCATCCAATATATTTTCTCTTGAAAACCAGTGATCGGGAAACGAACACTGATATCCGGGATGTCCAATTATGGTTAGGAGCGCCCCATGCTAGTCTTTGGGGCCCCCACACCGGCTAGAAGTGTCCCAAGCCGCATTTGGTGCTCCATGCGGCATCTGAGGGCCCCAATGACGGCCTCAGAGGGCCCTTTTATGACGATCTCTGAGGGCTCCCACGACGACCTGTCCCTTGGGGCCCTACAACGGCCACTAAGGGCCCTTATGACGACCGCTGAGGGTCCCACAGAGACTCCAGGGCCCCAAGGAGACTCCAGGGGCCACGCTGGCCTCTGAGGGCCCCTATGACGGCCTCTGAGGGCCCTTACGATGATCTCTGAGGGCTCTCACGGCGACCTCTGTCCCCTGGGGCTCTATAACGACCACTAAGGGCCCTCATGACGACCGCTGAGGGTCCCACAGGACTCCAGGGGCCCGCTGGCCTCTGAGGGCCTCTACGACGGTCTCTAAGGCCCTCGTGACGGTCCTAGACCCAACTCAAGTCCGAGGGCCCATTTGGCTTCAGACGGCCCAGCGACGGCCTCTGAGGGCCCCAACACAACCAGGCTGCTGGCATCTGAGGGCCCTGCAACGGTCCATTGATGACCCTAACGATGGCCTCTAGCGGTCTTACCAAGGCCTCTGAGAGCCCTGCAAAGGTATCTGAGGGCCCATGAAGACCCTCACTATGGCCAAGGACCCTCATGACGACCTCTGATGATCCTCTCGAAGGCTTCTAAGGGCCCTCACAACAACTTCTGAGGACCCCAGGACGGTCCCTGAGGGGCTGAGGGCCCTGACGACGACCTCTGTGGGCCCTCACGATGGTCTTTAAGACCCAACGCAAGCTCCAAAGGCCCACGCTGGCGTCTGAGGGCCCCACGGCGGCCTCTGAGGGCCTCGATGCAGGCAGGCTCCAGGGGCCATGCTGACCTCTGACTTCTGAGAGCCCTCTTGACGGCTTCTAGGGCCTAACGAAGGCTTCAAGGGCCAACGCTGGCCTCTGAAGAACCATACGACGGCCTCGGAGGGTCTCAACTCAACGCAGACAGGTGCCAGGTGACATGCTAGCCTCTGAGGGCCCCGCAGAGTTCAGATTCAGAGGACCCAACGACCTTTGTGGTCACCATGTCGGCTTGTTGAGGCACTTTATCTGCTCTTGGTGCCCCGTCGCCGGCCTCTGAGAGTCTCAATGTCGGAACTTATGGGGCCATGGGCCCTACACCGGCTTTTATGGCCCCTACATCGACTCTTGGGACTCGTGACCCGTGAAATGTGGGTCTACTCGGCTTCTAAGAATCCCCATGCTGGTTCTAGTAGCCGCCAGCCGAATATTTGGGCTCACACGCGAGCTCCTGGGACCCCGTGCATACTCCAGGGGTCTACCTGCCTCTAAGACCCCACGCATACTTTTGAGGCTCAAACGCTTGCCCCTGAAGGCCCCACTGAGACCCATTTCCTCTATTCAGTTCTCCATACCGGCTCTTTAGGCTAAGCATCGGCTCATGTGGCCTCCATCCCGGCTTTGGAGGGCCTCCATACAGTTTTTTGGGGTCCGATGCCGGTTTCTGTGAGAGCCCTCAAAAGACTTTCGAGCCTATACTGTCTTCTGAAACCTTTCAGCAACCGACACCGACCGACCCTGATCGGAGGGCTCATTCAGTCTGGGGAGTCATGTAGGTCTCTGGAGGAGTCTCTATGTGGTCGGTTTCCAAGGGGCTTCTAAACACGGTCAATTCTTGGAACGGTCTCGTAGGGCCCTCAATGGTCCACTGCGGATCCAGAAAAGTGGTTTGAGACGCTGCGGGTGGTGGCTAGACTAAAAGATTAGCCGATGAAAACTAGCTGCATTTGCTTCTTTATGCTTTCATTATTTGAGATAGGTAGGTACACTGCAATTTCAAACCTTTTGCAGAACTTGTGTGTATGTGGATAGTTTTCCAAAATCTTCGTTTTTTATAAATCAATAATAACCACTCAAAAAAAAAAAAAAAAAATGAAGGGGGGGGGGCCCAAACTTCCAGAGGGGCCCTTCGAGAAAACTTTGCACCCCCATCCAAAATTACCTTCCGCCGCCACTGTGCAAATTATACCTAAACAAATGTCAGCTTTGCTGTTCTAGTTCGCTCATTTCGATGCCTACATCCTTCTAACTTTCGGTGCATATCATCATTGGCGTAGAGAGTTCACATAGGTATGGAAATTTCCATCTATCCAGCCTAAACAAGTGGTCCCCGCACGGTCTCACCCTCAACAAAATAAGTATGGCAACGATTCGAATGGCATCTTCATCGGGTGGAATAGTGTCTAAAAAAACATCTATCATTGACTAGAAGTTGATCTCCCGGCATACGACTGCACCACGATCAACGCTTGCTCAGCAACGTATGCCATCTTCGCAAATGCTCTTAGACTGACCAGCTTGGCTGCAGTAACACCCGTGTTGTGACAGGACTGTCAACAGTTTCCATCATAACAGTCGCATTGAATCACAATTTATCCCACCCGGCGTTCTCCAAATGAGATTCAAGTGGATTTAGAGCATTCCGCTTTTGCTTCCAAGCAATGGACGTCGGTAGAACTTTGCCAGCGTCGCCACAACTAGCTTTGCCAGGCCCTGAATCACGCAGTGTTATCGTTCCGACTCCTGAAACCCAACAGTGACCGATATTGCAGCGGGCGATACACTATCGGAGCTAACAGGCTGTGTGTGCACGTATCGCAAGGCATGCGACAAAACTGCTAACCATACGCTAGGCAAACTTTGTAAGTCAGCTGAATCACTGCTGTTTTTACACAACAGATGCGGAGCAAGAGCTGGAGTAGAAGTGTGCAAACAAGAAATAGCTTAACTAACCAAACAGCGGTGTCAAAAGCATTTATCTTTCTAGTTGAGGTTTATTTGCCATTGGGTCTACAGTGCAGGGGTATTTCTATCTCGCACTCCTCTGAGATGCAAAGATAAGAATTTGTTATCTCTGCATCTCTCTGAGATGCAAAGATAAGGTCTCGGACTCTCGAGGGTTCATATCCAAAAATCAAGAGTTCAACTGATGATGGGTCAATAACCGAACGGCATTTTTAATGGCTGTTTCTATATGAAACTTATGAAATAAAAACAAACTACTCTAAATCTTTGTTACATAGATGAATACACTTAAATATAATGTTTAATTAATTAAGAATAAACCTCAACATAGAAAGATATAGGATTCCTCATGGCTCACTCGTGGAAGATCGGATATCTTTTCCTCGCGTGTTACAGAAAAACCTCGCTCCTGCGTCGCTCGGTTTTTCAGTAACCCGCTTGGAAAAGATATCCTTATCTTCCACTCGGAGCCATGAAGAATCCTCTATCAGAAACATTCTAACGGAGTCAGTAAAAAATCAGCCCACAGCCGTGGTAACGGAACAGACAGCTAAAATAGCGCCAAAGGACGACTGAAGCCAAAAATAAACCAAAACCGACGTGAAATCGCTATTCATTTCCATTCACTAGCCCGCATATCCCCCGCACAAAGAGAGGTCATGTACTGTGTACGGAATACGCTTTATTTAAATTGTCCGGCGCAACAGATAGGTATCCAGTGATCGGCTCGCCCGTTAGTTCTGCAGGCGCTCCCATTTCGCGCGCATTTTATTCAAATCACGCGCCAAAACATGGCGCCGACTGGTGGAGCGCGCGCGGCGCCGGTCGCCATGACAACGCCGTGTTTTCTTCAACGGCGCCTCCCGCTCCGGAGATACAATCTGTGATCATCCAGCGGGGTTTTTCACACAGCAGACAGTAATCGAAACAACAAACGACCGAAACCGAGGGGCGACACACTCACGCGCGCGGGACAGCACAGCGCTCAGGACTGAGGCGACCGAAAGCACCACTCAAGAGTTAATAGTTCCTAACTCTTGGCCGACGGCGGAGGCGGAGGCGGCGGCGCTACCACACACTGTACAAAATGACGGCCGCCACTGCGGGCGCCGGCCGGTTGACTTTAGGGAGGGGGATGTTTGAGGACAATAGAGAGCCGCCTGGAGTGAGAACACTCTCGAGTCCGTCACTGGCGGGCGGCGGTTCGTCAGCACAGTTGACGCTGAGCGTAGAAGAGACATGTGTTCAGTAGAAGACGACCTGGGAGGATGGGGAGACGAACGAGGCAGAGGAAAGGACCAGACGGAGAGGGGGAGGAGGAGGAGATGGTCGGTGAGGATGGGAGGGAGTGAGACAGCGCGAGCACCCAGCCGCCTTCGCGAGCCTCCGACGCGCATTAAAAGAAGTTGTTTGCGTGGTCGCGCGCGGCCGCCGCTGGTGGCGCCGCCACGCGGCCGGGACGCGAACCATCTGACCGGCCGGAACCCTTCGCCCCGAGGACAGATAGGACAGAGAAAACGGCGAGGGGAGAGAAAAAGGAGAGAGAATGGCAGATAAATCACTAGATCCTAGATATTAAGGTTTAGATTAAACATAAATACAACCTAAGATACGAACAACCACGGTGAATAACTGGATGAGATATCTCTAAGCTGGCGAGCGGCAGAGACCAAGACAGAACTTTTACATAGCGCACATATTCCTTCTGATTATTCAAACTCTAGCACACTGTGAGACGGGACCCCTTCCAAACAAATACACACGGAGAAATTGGACACTTCCGGACACTTCGGTGATTGCTATCGAAACCCGAGATGCGTCCCACGAATCATCCTGGTCCTTCAGAACCTGACCTAGTGCCTGAATTCCATACAGGAGGTTCTCTGATCATCACTTTCCTTCAAGACGAAACGAGAGCCCCTGTGACGTACAGGTGTTTGTGGGGTGCTGCTCTATACCAGATATACCGATGGATTCAAGAGCCGTCTTGCTGAGCTAGCATTAGAGGTGTGCGCGACAGAATGGCACGTGCCTACGACAGATCACCACCAGCTAACTCCATGTTCAGGTGCGAGCCAGGGAAACATGACGACATAAAATTGAATAAACACGAGATACAATACCAACTTCACCCAAACGAAACCAAAAAGAGACGGGAAGAGGTGGGGATAGGCGGCAAACAGACAAGAGTGTGCTACTGGAGAGGCCAGAGGAGGGGTGTTTCAGAGGGGCGCCCGGGCTCCGGGCCGTGCAGTCAGATCGGCGCGGCTACAGCTAGTCTTCTATCACATCGCGTACTTGCGCGTCCACTCGCGGGCAACCTGCAGACAGTCAGAGAGTCAGAGTCAGAGTCAGAGTCAGAGTAGAGTCCAGAGCTAGCTACAGAGGTGCAAGTCAGGGGAGCGACGAGTTTCAGAGAGTGAACTAAGATATCGGGAATCAGATACAAAGCAGTCCAGTAAGAAAAAAACGGGAGTTACAGCACAGTTTCTAGTTCCAACGTCAGGAGAGTCTGAAACTTTAAAGGGACCCTCCCACCTTCAAAAAAGTTAATGAATTGGCATAAAAGTGATGTCCCTTGGTTCAGAAAGAGCGGAAACGAATATCTACCAAATTTCACCGAAAAAATATTCACTGGTTTTCAAGATATTAGGCTTTTACTTTTATTTACTTTTTGGGATCTCCCCTGTTACTAGCGACTTTATTTGGAAGCAATAATTTGGCAGCCTTAAAATGCGGCAGACGTTGCGCGCAAAGCAGCGTATACCACCACGTGTTAACGATGGTTTTAGTCTAAGATTTAAAAATAGTTAGATCTCCGCTGACGTCACAAATTCTAAGGGGGCATTCCAATGCATTAGCCCCTTAGAATCCGAAAACTGCAAGTTTGAAATTCCATATCTTCGAATTAAAGCATTTTTCGATGTTGTGAGTGCCCAAACCGGTATTTGCAGGCCATGGCCACCAATTTGGCTATCCCAACTCAAAACTAATGTTAAGGTGGGAGGGTCCCTTTAACTATGTAGGGCACGGAGTCACAGCAGAGTCTGTGAGGCAAACAGAAGAGTGGGAGTCAGAGTGACAGAACAAAAGCAAGAACTGAGGAGTCAGGAGTGATAATTGGAGTAGGAAATTACATGCAGGAGGCATAAGAGATGAGAATATATGTCGACAGTAGTTAAAAACGTCCTGACAAAGAATACAGAAAGGTTAGGAAGATACTTGTTTGTGTCTTTAACTATTTTAGGAACAAAGTTCAGCCCATGAATGAATTCCGTATTGAGCTAAGGAGCAAATGGCTGTTAAGGAAATGATTCTCTAGTCTCTGAAAAATACCTACCATTGCCTAAGAACGATTAGAGTAGTAGTTAGTAGTAGTTAGACCCAGAGAACGATCAAACTGCCGCAATACCCACGAACTGCGGATCAGAATCCACCTATAGAGCAGCTAGCGATTTCCAACGCACCGACTCATCGAGAGATTACAGGCGGAGTACAGATAGCGGCCTGAGTCACCGGGGCGGACTCTGAACTGCCGACCCTTATCAGCCGCTCCGGGAGAGTACGAGACACACGCGGAGACCAGAACTGGGGTCGGACGGTGGTCAGGTGTTTAAGGCGATACATGAGTTGGAATGTGGATGCAACGGCAATCCGTGTGGCTGAACAAACTGGCTTGGAACATGATACAAATTTGTTTGCTTTGAGATAAAAACTAAACATAAAATGGAGCAGACTGGAATGGAATAGGTGGAATACCAACTGGAATTCTGAACAACAAAAATCCCCTGAAAGGACACAACATCGTGGAACTGAACATATATGAACATTACACATGCCCTGGGAAACGAGGAATGCCATTTACCCAAGGAAACCAACAGCGAAGCCCATGTCAAAAAGCAATGGACAAGAAAGCAGGAACTAAGGTTTATCATCAAACGACGGACGTTAAGAACAGGCTATGGCGCAAAAAAGCGCACCGAATATACATATCGCGTAACGCCGGAAACAGAATGCGCTATTGAGATACGCGTCACTTCCCATACAGCGAACAAAGAAGGTGATTCACCAGTATCATGAGTCAGAGACTACGTGTTTGTGTTTTGCGGGCACAGTACACAGCCTACCCGATAGAAGTGATACCGATACGCAAATAAACATACACAAAAAGCTATGGTGCACGTAAAACAGATATGTTTAAAACTAAGTTCAAATAATACCCTCGTGTATCTTAACCCCAGAAGGAAAATGTTTCTGAAAAGTCAAATGAGCGTAAAAGCAACGGTGATTATTGTAAATGCATTTAAACACCGCAACTAAAAAGTATTCCAGTGGGATTCGAACCCGGGCCGTGGGCGGCCGACTCACCTCGTTATACTTGTCCCGGTCGGTTTTATAGACGCGCGCGATCTCCGGTACGAGAGGATCGTCCGGGTTTGGGTCACACAGCAGCGAACAAATGGACAGCAACACTGAAACGAACAGATTAAAACAGGGTCAGTCACAAACAGAGTGGCATGGGGAGGATAAGTAACAGACGGATGACGTCATAATCGATAGGTGACGTCTAATTACGATACAGATGGATCATACAAAAACAGCCGAAGTCATAGCAGGATGCTGATGTCGCAATAGACAGATGGCGTTACAATTGATTGAAGTCATACCTATGTGAAAAAGGCGAGGGGATAGTTCGCGTATGTGAATCGTAAAGGTAACACTCGTCAGAAAATGAAGGTCAAGTTGAAATGACTTATCATGCAAGTCGGCAAGGTGTCGCAGTCGAACCGATTTTACGTTTTCCGGCACGATTAAAGGCAGCAAGCAGCTGTTGACTGGCTTAAAATCGTTAGGTACTCATGTAACTTTGTGTAATACGCGGTACGCCAGATAATTTGCTGGATGAAGACGCATAATACTACACGGAAACAGCCCTTTACTGTCGGCGCACAGCAATGTCCCAAAATTTGTCGATTTGGGTGGGAAACGACATCCAAATGAAATTTATTTCCCACTCTCACCACCATTTTTTAAGAACAATTTTCCACTCCCAACCAAGAAAACCTAGATTTTTTACCTATAGAAAGAGCAGTTGTGTGGATGCCCGGTTTAGCATCAAGCATCCTACACCTTAGAATAAAATGCACGTTTTTTGTCATTTTTCACTCTTTTTGGATCTAATCGAATCAGCAGTTTTTCACTCTCTCCCCTCTTTTTGGTGGACAATTTTCCCCTCTGACACCCAAGACAAAACTCAATTTTGGGACACTGGCGCACAGCGCACGAGCTATGTCGGTCAAGAGTCGCACATTGTTCACTTTTCCAGCATCGGTATTGCTACATAATGTAATCGATCACAAGCCAAATGCTATCCATAGTGAGATTGAATCAATAATTGAGAAACTATAGAAGACCTTGCTCTTTCCGCTCGTAGGAACCGTGGCGAGGACAGTGTAGCACAATTTACACACCATATTTTACAACAATGTCAGTAATGTAACACTGTTCAGAACAGCCATACTGTTACGTCAAATGTAGATTTTAGTCAATCCCTCATTAAAACACAGAAATCGGACTCTTCAGACTATTAACCATAAAGAATACGGGTAATTATATGGGGGTATAGAAAATCAAGATACGGCGAATATTGTGTCAGTCGGTGCTCGACGAAACTATGTAGACAAAGAAAGACAATGCCGTGGCAAGAGAGAGATCAGCCGGAAATTACGAAACGCCAGTGCATCAAACAATAACGGAACACGGCGACCCTAACGGTAGCTACCTAGGTAAGGATGTCGGGATGCATGAAAAGCGGCCTTCAGGGTAAGAATAAATAGAGGCAAGGAAGTGTCAACAGAACGGAAATTTAGAGCAATAATAGCCTGTACTATCGGATACACAAAATCTGACATAGCATATATCTCCTAGACTCCTAGACCAACTAATTATCCAAGTACGTGGTAGACGCCAGTTTAGGATCGAAGTGACACTAATTATTTACCAGACACCAATCGAACTACGTCACAAAATCGCAAAAAAATAAATTAACGGAATTCTGCCCGCAATGGCAAATCACGGTACGCAGATAGTCTTAAGCGCATTTCCACGCTCTCTAGTGAGGGTCGATCTTCCACTCAGAGAGTCGGCTGACGGCGCCCCTACACAGACTGTATACTCAGCTGTCCAAAATGGGCGCGCTGTTGAACTAAGATAGCCAGGTAATGCGCCCCATCATGGTGTGTTTGAGACCCAGAAAAGCTGCGATGGATGGTGTAGCCCAAGACAACGTGAGGTACTATGCGGGACAAAGCAAGGACAAAGTATCAAGCGTGCGGACATACCCCCGCTACTGAAAAATTATCAACTTACAGAGACGACACAATGGCTAGAATTTAGATAAAAAAGATATAGGAAATTTCAAAAAGCTGGTTTGGAGTCAACGTTGTATGAGACATAAGCCACAACATATGCCACTTACATAAAGATCAGGCAACGTGACTTTCATGGGATAATGAGCGAACTTTTGGAATTAACGAACTACAAACAGATTCCAAAGGAGTAAATAGACGCTGATGATAGCCTTACGTGGGATAACCTCAGCCACAGTACTACAAATTACCGAAATCTCGCATGACTTCCGTAATCTGGGTAAATAAAAAAGGTAACCAGCTTGTACGGAGTTTTATGGGTGATAAATGTAGGTCAGCGACGCACCACCAGCCTGTGAGACTTGACCGCATTTTGTGGCACGCAAAACATCTCGAGATGAACGTCAAAAACGATCACATTATCGAGCGTTGTTTATAAACAACAGCGATGGCCGGCGAACATTTCCGAGATCCCGGGGGATTCCTGGAATTCCCAGCACGTGGCGCTGTCGGTTCGATCCATTTTCACGGAAACCTGTTTGGGCATGTTCGTGAACCAATACCCTGAACCAAGCAAGGAGTTTTGAATATCACCGGCACGAATACATTGTTTTGATAACATTTTTAAAAGCATATGAAGAAGCAGGCATTCAATAAGTTAGACGACTTTACAGCAACAAATCCAAGAAAGTGAACATTTTTTCATGCTTGCATAACCATCAAACATGACATCAAACAATTCATACCTTTCCCCAAATACCTCTAAAGGACTATGGTAGGTCATCTCTAAAAATGGTTGTATCAGTGGAACTGGACTCTCACTTGTTGAAATGGTGATTATGGTTGTAACCCTTGCAAATGGTAAATATGGTTCTTACCTTTGGAAATGGTGATACCGGTTCCTTACCTTTGGAAATGGTGATTGCGGTTCTTACCTTTGGAAATGGTGAGGGCGGGCGACCACTGCGAGCGCAGAATGTCCAAACATATGCTACCGTTGCTGTTTATGTTAGGGTGGTAAATTCGAGTGGTAAAAGCCACCTGAAATCAGAGATACGACATCAGACACAGGGATACGTCATCATGCTAAGGCAGTAAATTCGCGTGGTGAAGCTACATGAAACTAGAGACATTCGGTGACACTTTTTCAAACTTGTTCAAGTTTGTCTATCAAACCGCGTCCTCCGGCGGGTTTTAACACCCCCTGCGGTTTCCCGCAAATATATAAAAAAACGGTCACCTCATCATAAATCTTTTTCCTTAACATGTTGTGAAAAATTCTGACCTAGGTCACTCAAGGTCAGGCCACAGGTCATGTCAAGTGAACTCACCTCCTAAAAAGTTTCAATGTCTGACATAGCTACAGAGTGACCGATCACTTTGAAACTTTCAGCGATTGATAAGAGCAACAGTATGTACAAAACGTATATCCCGTAATTTTTATATCGGTCACCAAAGGTCAGGTCAATTTTGCGACCTCCCCATTAGGTATAAGTCAATGGGAGAAAATTGAAATGCGCCTCTTTTGGACGAACGCAATTCCTAACACTCTCAAACACTGAATTACGACTAACTATGACACACTGAACATGTAAAGAGCACCCATGACCCCTGTTTATGCTCCTGAGAGTGAGGTCATATCAGGTCACAAGAACTACTTAAATTTTTCACAAATAACTTTTGATAGAGGCATGCTAAAGCGATGAAAACGCCCTAGATGTGTTTAGCTCGACGATACGGATCGACTGGTATGCAACATGATCCTTTCCGGTCAGGTCATAATGCGTTTTGACAAGAGGAACACGATGCCGGTAAAAGTAAGCTCGTGCAAGGTTTTAACCATACGTTATTGCAGAAAAATGTTTTCGCAAAAATTGTCTGCTTGGTAGTTTTTGCCCCCTGCAGGCAAAACTGTTGACCTGAAGTCAAATCTCATAGAATTACTCAGAAAGAGTGTTAATAGGGCTATCAAATGCGCTTTTCCGGGGTGTTGTAGGCTGTAGCTCTATTGTTTTCTAGGTATGCGCTGGTTTGTTTTCGGTCTAAAATTCGGCGAGCTGTGGCCTTCCATGACCTCTGGTGACCTGACCTTTGACCTGACCAAAAACTGACAGAAGTAATTTTGTCATTATTTTCGGCGCTCTTTCGAACGCCGCCTTCCTGTATCGCTATGTGGCCCAGGATCCGAGTTAGAAGGGGGAGAAGAAATCAATTATGATTTTCCAGCAGAGCGTGGAAATCAAAGAGCCCCTGCGGGGCGTGGGTTAACGACAGGTACTCAGTCAATGTTTTCCATCGGTATGCTGCCAGCCTATTTCGACTTTCTTAAATCTTCCCAATGGAAATATTGATCAAGTGAGTGTGGTGAACACAAATATCTATACACTTAAAAGCCTATACACTTGACAAGGTGAACAAAGCAAGCAACAAAATGATCTCATTGACCACAAGATCGGATCATTACACACAAGATACCATTCGGAGTGACCAATGAAGGAATAATATGTGACATTCTCACCTTTGGAGGTTTGAAGGGATAATCTGTGGGAAAGTGTATGGTGAGGAAGAAGACGCCTCCCTGGTACGGACTGTCGGGCGGGCCCATAATTGTCGCCTGCCAGTGAAACACTGAAACAAACAGAACAGACAATGACAGTATGTCAGGACTGTCGCGCAGGCCCATAACTGTCACCTGCCAGTGAAACAATGAAACAGATAGAACAGACAATGTAGCCAACAAACACTAACCAGGTAGATATGCAGCAGACAAAAAAAAATCATGTTCTATATGCCTAAATAGCCAACTGAAGTAGTGGTAAGATCAGCCCAACAAATTGATTTGACTCGTAGCATGATATTGGCACTTTTCACCGGACCGGCTATATCAAGATTAAATAGCATCCCATGCAGAATGAACCCATGTACGAGTTCTTAGCAAAAATGGGCAGTTACAGATGCAAATCAGATAGGCAATGATCATGAAGTATATTCCATGTTGCCACCAGTGCCCGTTTTACTCACAATCGTCTCCTACAGGCCCTGCAGAGCATTGTGCTGGCGGATCACGACCGAGGTCTTGTAGCTCCTGTGAACACGTGCCAGAGAGTCATTACAATGGGGGAAATCTTCAGTATTCAGTTTACTCCTCGGCTTGTTTCAGGGAGGACTGATGGCAGGATAGGCATGTAATGCTGACAAGCAAAATAATTCTTATCACAAATTCATGATAGCACTTAATTAGGCAGACTCCACTGACTGAAATTCAGATTCAACATGTGGTAAGACGTTATCTAAGATTAGGGACTCCAGGGAGGATTTGAAAAGAGCAAAAGCAGGCAACTATTGCATTGTTGCGTAATCCTTCGCATGTGTAGTTCAGCGACACATTCATGACCATTCTAACGAAAACTGTTGAAAAACCCATGTGCATATGCAGGAGACTAGGAAAATATGTTGATTATTAGAACCTGCTTGGTCCTTAGCAGCATTATTGTTATTGTAGCAAAACAGTTCAAGTTGCCTTTTAATCTGGGTCAAGTTTTGGCATTCATTTCGCAATCACCGTTGAACCGCACCGACACCTCCTCGTACCTTATTAATTCTTTTCAAAGACATACTAAATGTGAGTGTCTCCTCTCAGCCCCGATGATGACAGAAGGCTTAAACCTAGGAAATATCCCGTAATCCCCGCCCGCACGCCTTCGCAACCGGAATACAATGCGCAAAGATGGCTGATCGGGGAAAGAGAAGGGAGTATCACATTCTACCTTACAAACCACGATTTATTTGTGTTTGGTGCAGGAATGAGCTATTAAATGTTATTTTTCTTTTTTATTTGATCGTTGCCCTTCATTTTGAGAGACAGAAGATACTTTATTTAGGTAAATTTCAAGCCATTTTCACTAAAATGTTGGTGAAGGCAACCAACTACAAAAACATAATGTTTATGTACTGTACATTTAAAATACCTGTAAATACTCAACAAAGGCTTCAAAAAGCAAGAAATAAACAGAAAAGCGTGCAAAAATGAGACAGTTTGATGGGGGGACGACTCTAAAAGTGGTGAAAAAATAAAAGCTTGCAAATTCATCAGATTGACATCTCTGGTCTGCGATCAGCTGATCGGCAAGGGCAGATTGATGAGCCACTGTTGACTGTTCTCCTCACTAAGAATAAGCTCAAGCAACATTTTCTTTTCAAGGCTCGGAGAACAGCAACAGAAACAACATTATGGCTAAATACTCATCACTCTCCGATATAACTACGCCGTAGCTATACCTATACCTAACGGTTTGTTGTTAGGTACCTACATTTCGCAGTTTGAGGCTAGGAATCGGACAAATGTTCCGGGTTTGGATTTCGCACTCCGCAGTAAATAATGATCCTAGTGCCACACAGCAACAACATTTATAAACTTCAGTATGAATGCAATGACAGAGGCGCTTTGATTCAGTTACCATACAAGACTGATGTTTACTGTCATCTGGTGGTTAATTTTTGTAACTAGAGCTATGAAATGCTGCCTGTAGAGGCGCTAGTGTTTCCAGACGGTTGGTCGCCGAGTCAGGCGGGTCGATCATCTCTGTTCAGCTAGTCAGTAGCCGGAATTCTTATTTCTTATCGCTGAAAAGCGCACGTAAGACCTAAATTTTTCTTCAACACAAACACGCTCAAACACCATATTAAAGTAAACATGGCTCACTGAACCGGAAATGGGCACCCGTGAACCCGATCGTTATGTCCCCTGAGGTCATCTCAGGTCACGAATGATATTTAACAGTTTTTTTTACGCTAAAACTTCTAATAGACGCATGCTAGAGCGATGAGAACGCATTAGATGTATTCGGCTTGACGACAAGGATTGACTGATATGCAGCATTACCTTTTCTAGTCAGATCATGACCTTGACCTGTGGTTAAATTTCGACGTGTCCTTTCAAGGTCAACTATAGTTCATCCGACGCGTCTGACCGAGGGGAGACCGAGACGATGCTGGCAAAATAATGTCGTGGCTCTCTTGAGACTGTGTTTTCGTGTTTCGTCCTTCGCCAGTTATCCCCCATGGGTGAGAGAGGTTCATTAACAGCGATGGCGGATTTATTATAAAATGACGGGGGCCGGTCACTTCGTCGGCCGGCGGCGGCGGCGGTCGCGGACCAAGAGACGGGAGCTACAGGTAGCAGCTCATAATACGCCCGCTAGGTTTCGGTGACTCCGACCCCTCAGACTCCGACTCCGGGCAGAACTGTCGACTCCGACCGACTCAAACTCCGATTCCGACTCTGCTTTCGATTCCGATTCCTACTCTGCGGTGCAATCCTGCTAGTTAGTCCATCCTATCAAAAACACCTTGCCAATTCGAATCGTCTGTTTATTCGTCGCATCACCTAGCTCATAAATACACGCATGCACGCATCACGCGTGCATATACACGCACGCGCACACGCACAAATCCTGGAAGACACACTATGTAACACCGACGTACGCGAGCTGACCCCTTCGTGACGTCACTCTGACGTCGCAGAGATGCAGAATGTCGTTGTGTGCTCTGGCCAGGGCAGCCTGCATCCCATAGCAAACAGCTGATTCGTCAATAGTTCTCCTATATACACTCGAGCGCGTCTCCATTGCACGGTAACGTAAAAATCAGAATAAATAAAACCACGCGCGCTGCAGATGACTTGCGCAAATAAAAACAACGCAGAGTGAACTATAACAGATAACGCAGGAAAAATCATGGATGTGAGGAAAAAGAAAAAAAAAAACGAAATCCATACATACACAGAGAGACATATCAAAACATGAGACTACAACAGGATGAGCTATAAAAACAACATGCAAGTCACCATAGCTATGCAAATATTGAACTATTTTCTCAGACCGATCCAGAACCTAGCACGGGTTTAGATCCAAAACAGCGCATAGATCCACTATAACCGCAGTGAACACCAGGTCAGCCTGTTCTGTCTCGAACACAAAGTGAACACGAAACAGATGTGCCACGCTAAAAGCGGGCTTAAAAAACATGAGAATAGAGGTCGCAACCTATTTCGTTATCCCCTAGTGAGCATAAAAGCAGCATAGAGTGACGATGTGAGCGGATTTAAGTCGGTGAGCCGGGCACGGGCGGTGACGTCGTGTGGGTCCGCGGTGCTACGAAACAACGGTGATCGTGGGTGAAAATCGTTTGAAAAAAGCGACAGCGACAGCGATCATACATATCTCTAGCACTGAAACCATGTCTGTTTTGAGCCATCACCGTCTTCAGGCCATGTCAGGACCGTCAGGGAAACATCCGACAGCCCCTGGTAACAAACTATCAGCTGTGGTAACGATCAGACAAAACTCTCATCAGCGCACAACTAAAACAGCACTAGCAGTATCGTATCGTAGAGGTCACCAACAGATGGCGCCAGCGGCGGGCGGCCCCGCCGACTCGCCAGCCGCCACCCGGGGCAGTGACCTTGACATCAACAAATGACCTTGACGACGCACCAATCAGATTCACGCTCGGACGAGGCGTGGACGCTGACGTCACAAGCGTCCCCAGTGATTGCCGTTGCTGCCACCAGTTTTTAAACGCTCAAGCTCGGACGCACTCATCCACACGTCTATGTACATTTCTACGAAGCAGGTATCTATGTACAGTACGCGTTGTCAGATCGTCAATTTAAATATCTTTGGTGTACAGCATTTTCGGGCTCATATAAACCGCCCGGCGCCGCTCAGAGCCTTGCTTTCTTCTGAGATCGGCGGATAACCGCCTTGAGCCGGCTGTGTCCGGATGAAACCAGCCATAACCGGATTCAACCGGCTGTGATTGTAGGCCCTGTGCATTTTGAGCGCCGCCGCAGGTTTGCGTAGCCGCAGCTTGCTAGAGTTTGCGCTGGGGTTTGGGAGCGCCACCTATGAGCGGCCCCGAGCACTGCTGGTTGAGCCGGTCACCGCCAGGGGCTGGCTGACGGCGACAGCTGCTCAGGACCGAGCCCCGAGGAGCTGAAACAAAAGAAAAAACGTCATAGAGATGAGATGACACGTTTACACCATCAAGTCTGAAGTCGAGATGTTGCTCAAATTCAGTCGCTACTTTTCAGCGTCAGGAGGCTTCTAGGAAAAAGCCTGGGCAACAAAAACGTCGGCCAATTTAAAGGGAACGATAGAGCAGTGGTGGTTGGGACACTATGTACGTATTGGCCCCACTAAAAGCTTTCCATGTAGGTATGGTATTCCAAACACCACTTGGAATATCTTGCGGTATGTAATTAGGCTCAAACCACTGCAGCCATATGACTACAAAAAACAAGCGTGTACTTACATCATTTACTGAGCAGTCCGCCGGCCGACGATGAGTAGTTGTAGCCGGCGTACCCGGCGTACTGCGGGTACGGGTAGCTGCTGTAGTCGGGCATCTGAACGGAGCCTGGCAACGGAACAAACAAAATGGCGTCACACGGTGGCAACGGAACAAACAAAATGGCGTCAGACGGGAGACGGCTACTGATAGAAGCGGGCTATTCAAAGGCTTTTTTATTTTTATTTAATCTTAAAAAAGGGGGAAGTTTCTAGGGTAGGTGGTTTTACTGAAGGCCAGTCGTGAATAATTGACCAGTCGTGGCCGAATTGTCGTTAAACGGTCCATTGTCCACAAACATGGTCCACTGTGCCTCATTGAACGCTCAATGGCCTCTGACCAACAGCTCGTAATTCGGGGCAATATTACATCAATTTCTGAGGGAAAACAAGGAGTATTCTCGAGCGTTCCCCGAAAAATACAGCAGCAAGCTACGAGCGTCTACGTCAGAGTAAACTCTACAGAATACCTTGAAATGGGTAATCCCAGCCGTTCTCACTCTCCATGCATTTCAGTCGTGCAGTGCTGTGCTCTTACCTGGATGCGGCTCATATTTGGCCCGCTCGTGCGACATGAGCCGCTCGTCATAGAGCCGAACGTCGGGGGAGAGGGCAGGGGAGAGCTGCGCCAGCGTTTTGGGCTGCTCGGGCGCCCCGGGCGCCCCGTGGGCGCCGTGGACGCCACTGTGGGCGCCCAGGTCGCCGTACGGACTGCGCAGTCGGCAGTCGTACTGGGCCATCCCGCAGTCATTGTGCAGCTGACCGCCGCACAGATCCGGGAAGGTCTGCGGACTGGGACTGGGGCGCAGCTCCTGGTGGTGGGTGGGGAAGGTCTGCGGACTGAGGACTGACGACTGAGGACTGAGGACGGATGTGGGAGGACTGAGCACGGACGTGTGAGGACTCAGAGCCGGAGGACGCTCGTCGGCCGGGGACAGGGAGTACGGGGAGTCTCCGAAGCTCAGCTGGACCGGCTGGTACCCTCCCAGGTATGACACGGGTGGTGGGGGCGGTGGCGGCTGCGACTGCAGCTGACTCTGGGCGGGGGCGGGGGCGGGGGCGGCCGAGATGGGCTGCAGGACAGTCAGGCTCTCGTGGGACGACGTGCCGGGGGATTTCTGCGGCGTGACCGGCGGCTGGGGCTCCCCGGAGACGGGCGGCGTCAGAGCGCCCACCGGCGGCGACAGCACCGCGCCGCTGACGTCCAAAGGCGTCAGCGGCGAGTAGCTGTACGTGCTGCCACCTGTCGGCGTGCCGGAGAAACGGTGCTTCAGTGCGTGGCCGCCAGGGACCGGTGAGGGGCGTGCGACAGTGCTACCAGAGCTAAAACCGTGCGACGGCGGCGGCCGGTGCGGGCCGTTGGCAAAACGGGCGGTGGGTGCAAATGCGACTGACTCGAGCGCTACAGGGTGAAATACGCTACACTGCGGGTACACACCATGCACTAGCTATCGAAAATCAACTCGAAACAAGCCGAGCCGCAGTGCAACTCTGGCTGCCACGCACGATTCATTTTTTCAGCAAACGATCCAGATTTTCAGGTATTCACCTAACAGCAAAAGCATGCACTTTTTCTGAAATTTATAAGCAACAACCGTGCGAGGCAGCCAGGCAAGGTGCGGTGCGAGCGTGCGTCACTGGCGACATCTAGTGAGTGGCTCCGTCCCTAACTACAGGTGCGCCACCTATAGTCGATCGGTGCGCCACCTATAGCCGATCGGTGCGCCATCTATCGGTGACCCACCTTGCTGGTATTGCCCGGAGGCGTCGAGGAGCGGCGCTGTGGCGCCCGGGGAGGACTTGCTGTCCATGGAGATGGGCGCCAGAGGCGTGAGGCCGGCAGAGGTGCCTGACGGAGGTCGAAGAGGAACGTCAGTTTAAATAAGAACGTGAGTTGACGGCGAACACATCTATCACCCGAGCCCTTGGTACGATTCGACATCAATTTGTGGAGACCTCACGAAAACTTGACCGAAGGTATTTTAGGCACATTTGGACAGTTACCTGAAATGAGGATATGCTAATTTCGAAACAGAAGAACATGCCAAAATTGTCAATGTCTACGTAAGCTGACTGCAAAAATCTAAAATTCTGACACAAAGAATTAAATTAGTATCTCGGCAATACTACCCGAGCCGCTAACCACTCTCAGCCGCTCTCTCACAGCCCCCACTCACCGAGTGACGCGGTCAGACTCTGCGAGTAGACAGACGGCTGCTGCTGACCCAGACCGATACTGTCGTACAGCGCCTCGGACTGCGAGCTCACTGCCGAGCTGAAGGCGGCCTGGTCCACGCCGCCGGCGCCGAAGCTGTAGCCGGTGCCGGCCGCACCGGCCGCAGAGAGCTCGGGGAGGAGGTTGGCCGCCTTTCCGGCCTCGTCCTTCAGCCACTGCTTCGACCAGGGCAACTGCGGACGGGAGGGGGGAGGAGGTTAGTGGCGAGATATTCGGTGGTTGGAACAGGACTATGAAGAGAAGTCGGTGGAACTAGTTATGCTCTAAGCTGTTGACTCTAAAGAAAGATCGCACTGCATCATTCCGGCAAAGGCTGGTGTTTTAAAAAGTATTGTCGTATATTACAATAACAATTTTCATGTTTACTGACACGTATTTTAAAGGATATCGTAAAAATGCGCTAATATTATGAGACTTATGCTGTATTAAGGAACAATTTCATTCCCATCCCGTCATCACACCAATTAATGACAGGGTAAATCCTTACTTAGAATAATGAGCAGCCGCTCGAGTTTAGGAGCTCTAAGATGATCCTGCTGCTCACTTTAATCAGCTGGCGTCCCCTCTCAGAGGCCGGCGCGCCATTTCTCCACAGCCACACTCGGCTCATCTCGCGCCAAAAAGGCACCGCCACCGCGGCATGATGGATGACAAATTTCCCGCCAAATGACGGATGAAATAAACTCCATCGCCGTTGAAAAATGCAATTTGCATTCTAATAGGGCGGGTACGGGATTGGTTACACGTCAAGGCAGGCGCCGGCTAACGATAATCCGAAAGGCGTCACTCGCGGCGCACACGCGTCGTTTGTGACACGGTGCGGTGCGCCGGAATTAGCCGCACCAGCCGAGACAAATGTGACGCGCTGCTAATGCGAGCGAGTGCTGGGATAGCAAATTGAGAAAACGTGTTTAAAATGACCTACCAACGCGGAAGATCTTTTGAATTGTAGATACAGGCTCCCACCCGCAGTCCTTTTTTCTCGGAAGTTATCACAAATTTTGCGTCCATTCATCGCCCTTATTATTTTTTGACTAGTTCCGAGTCCGAAAATATGTCCAAATCAGTCCTTCGCAGCATTAGGATTTAGGGTTAAAATAGACGCATCTATGGAGCGTACCCCCCACACCAGGGATGAGAAACAACCCCGGTTAGACCACCGCCCCACCACTACTGCTATCATCATTTCCCTGATTGAGCCATCCACTGGCCATCACAGCATCCCCCCCACTACCCCTCCCCTCGACAGTCCAGCGACAAATGCGGAAATTATGCACGGCCCGGCCGGCGCGCGGGCTCTCCACAGCCCGTCCGAGATTTGCTGCCGGCGTCCCATCTGGGGCAGGCACGACCAACGACACCCTGGGTGCAGGTCGGAGTCGGGCGCGCCGGCGACCTCTCAGCCCCGGGCGGCGCGGCGGCGGCGGACGAGCCTCCCCGAGCAGGCTTTGTTCGCAGCGCCGCCCCTTGGCGCCGCCCGCATTAGTAAGCGTTTGGGCCGGCAAAATCTCGGCACCCCAGCTCGTGCTTTTTGACGGCCGCGCACTTCGTATGGAAATTGTCGCAGGCCAGGCTGGAATCGCCGGCTTAAGTGCATCGTTTACCAAGCCGTGGGAATTAAAGGGTTGTGATATGCTCCCAGGGGAAGGCTGGGGAGAGGTGATGTCGGTAAAAAGTCTGTTATATAAAGTACAGCTGTGATAATGCTTGTTTTACACATGTATCAATTTGTTCCGCAAGCGGGTAGTATGAAAGGAGTGT